TGCCCACTTCTCAGCCTCTAGCTCCACCTCCTTCACCCTGGAACGCTCCTGGAGCGCCACCTCCCTCAGCTGCTCTGCCTCCTTAGTGCTCTCTGCATGATACATAACAACAGAGCAGAGTGGATATTTGGATTTTGAATTTTTTTGTCTGATTTCAGGCAGGGACATTTAAGACTCACATTTGCATTCTGAATAAATAATATAAATAATGACTCTTGAGCTTATGACATGGTAGTAAACATTAAACTGTACCTTTGGTAACCTGCTTCAGCTGATTTTGTAGACTAACATTTTCCTCTTTTAGAAGTCTAATCTCACTGGCAAGCTGGTTGACTGATTCCAGTCCCTGGATGTAAATATTCGTAGGAGCACCTTTGGAGGAGATAGAGACAGAGGAGTGAAAAATAATAAATAAATAATAAATAATAAACAATGACAGAAAAAACATCTTTGTAAATTAAATTTAAAGCAATAAAATTTCAATAACATATTTTGTTAGAACTAAATTCAATGCTTTTCAAAACTTTGAGCCCCGCAGATAACACGAACAGTGTGTTCGTTTGTCTCTGTTACCTTTCTCGGTGGTGGTTCGGGCCAGTTTCTCCTCCAGCTGTTGTCGGAGACGGTCGTTGGTGTGGATGGAGTCCTCCAGTCTCTGCCTCAGACTCCTGATTTCCTTCAAGTGCTCCTTCATCAGGTCTGAACCTGTAGCAGACAAAGCGCAGAGTGAGTGTCTGTTGTGAAATCACCATCCACGCTCACCTAATAAATTAATACGGCAAGAAAAAGATCATTTATTGTCAAAAACAGCGACTGATCACTCACAGCTGGCTCAACGGGAGTTTGTTTTTCATGCACTGGCTATTTTTGAGTATTTTAATTCCAAACATGTCTGGATGTGTGTTTAACTAAACCCTTTCAAATGTCATTGCATATTTAATCCATGTTCAAAAAAACAAAACTTCTTATACATGATTTAAAATTTGAGTTCATTTGCAACACAATGCTCACAAAACATTTAATATGTTTCAGATCAGTTTGATTTTATTTACAGCGCCACAACAAAAGTTGCCTGAAGGTGCATTCACAGCCTGATGTATTGAATGCTTTATTCGTAAAACAAAACAAAAACCCTACATGTCTTTTCTGGCTTTGATCCCAATACATCAGCAAAATGAAAGAATAATTCAGAAGCCGAGCTTTTATTTTATTCATCTGAAAATTCTGCAGTTTTTAAAACTTATTACAAACCTATAACATCTCATCTTTGACCATTTTGCAAACAAATATTCCAAACTAATTTCAGCTCAGTGTTATGCAATTCTTGGGGTTTTTTTGGTATTTCTTTTAAGGCTATACGAAATAAGAATAAAAATATGTTTTTAATGCCTCAGCTGAGGAAATACAGTTTAGACTAATTTACTACCCCAGTTTGCTAAAAACTGATATTACATAAGCACACCCAGGCACTAGTGTCAGTAGGGAACTTGTACATACAAAACATTGAACAATTTTTAAACATTTTTAACATAAACACCCAGAAATCAGAGAAATCATCGGACACATTAAAGCTTTACCTGTGTGACTGTTGCCTGACTGGTACCCTGAGGATCCTGATGACAGGTCAGCTCCAGTTCTCACTGCTCGATTTTCATAGCTCACATCCCACAATGCACTGCTCTCCAGGAGGCTGGCCCCAGCTTTCATTGTCAAGCTGGCATCCAGACTACTGTTGCTAGCAGCACTGCTGAAAGGAGAAGGTTGGAATCCTTGGTAGGAGAGAGGCAGTAAGTCAAAGGAGTCCGGCTGCTGGTAGACAAATGGGAAACCCTGAAGCGGTTTGGCTTGAGGAGTAGAAAACCCTGCAGAGGATGAGACGATTTAAGGAAACAACTAAAGGAAAAGCGGATAGCTTATATATTGTGTAAATACATGGTCTGCTTTGTGTGTGTGTCTTAGAGAGACTAAGAGCAAGATGAAGGGATTTCCCCTGACATCGGGAGCAGGTTTGTTAATCAGCCAAATGAAATTTGTCTGGTTGGGGCTGAAAGCTCTAATTCCCATGAGTGTTTTAAGATCACAGCAAATCCCTCTCCAGCTGGAGGCTCTGGCTTCATTAAACATCAAGTGTAGAACAGTTGCTTAATGAGTAAGAAAGTACAGTGTGTTAAAGATAAAGGCAAAGGGATGACAGTGAGAAGAAAGACAAAGGCAGTTATTATTAAAGCTGGTCAGCTCCCTCTTTGCTTAACTACAAGAAGCCATTTTATAACCTTTATTATAGTGTACAATTCAGAGGTAAATAACAAGAAATTGGTAGAGTACAACTAAATGTAATGTAGATGGCTGTTGCTATCAAAGTTAGGTGCTCTAATTATGTGATGCTCTTTAATAAGACACACAAAATGTCAGAAATTCAGGATCTGCAACCAAATCAGATCATAAAATCAGCCTTTAGGTGATCTAACAAATCCCCCACACGTCTTTTAGAAAGTAAGCAATACAAAGTAATTCATTTGTATCATGCCCCAGTATTTTATGGGGCAGTAATTACCATATAATGCACCAGCACAAGCATGAATGCGGCCAATGACATCGGCATCTTATGTAGGTTATGTCATAGGGTCCAAAAAGATCCCCTGTAGAAGTCTAAATCATTTCTAATGATTCAGACTTCTGAAACATTCAGCAATTGTTGAGTAATCGTTACTCTTAGGCAGACTAAATCCATTTTATTTCACCAGCAGCTGCTTAATTTTGTAAAGAAATTCAAAGGATTGTTTCTGGAAGGAATCAGTTCTTGGTTGCACACTCCATTGAATTTGTTTAGTTTAAAGTGGGTCAAACACAAAAGCATGCACAGACATGACGCACTGCCTTTGTCTGCCAGCTGCCTTTGTAACATCTGCAGCTCCTGGTGCACCTCAGTCAGGGAGAAACCCATACCCCCACTGCTTTGGCAACGTGTTCGCAGGTTGGAAGGGCGAGGATGGAAGGGCAAGCGTGTCTTCTGGGCGGAGGAAGTGGGGGAAGTGTGAAAGGAAGTAGGGTTGAAAACTGAGACAGGAGCTGGGAGAAAAGGGGAAGGTAAATATGATAGACAGACACAAAAAAGCAAAGAATAAAGAAAGATACAGGAAGGAGAAGTTGCAATCTACATGAGCTGAAGGACATTTTCTGGGGTCCTTCCTACCTGTCTGACTCTGCATGCCTGTGTGTTGGGAGCTGGTGGATTGCATGCTGGAGCAGCTATGACAGGACTGGGTTCTGTGAGATGAGGTGATAGATGGAGGAATAGATGGATGGCGTGACACTGTTCCATGGTGACAATCTGGAAATGAAAAGAAATACACTGCAAAACACTGATTCTATGCATTTTATGATAAAGGGTTGATACTGCAAAGGTCAAATGCCAAAACTGCAGTGCGGGACTTTAAAATGATGGTTAATGCTCTGCTGGAAACAGATCATCAATTGCAATTTCCTCACACATGAGTAACGTTTGCATGGAATTACACAAATATTCATAATCGGAATTCCCTCTGGGCTGTGTTGGTTAAAAAACACACAAAGAAAAACACTCGTACCTGTGCTCACTTTGGCAGAAATCCGTGATTCATCCTGACCAAGCTCACTGGCAGCATCGACATCAGAGTTCAACTCCAGGTCCTCAATTGTGGATCCATGCTCATCGGACACATAAGAGATGCGATCTGATTGGTCGGTGGTATCAGAGAGGGCATGACCGCTGCAGGGTGTGTCAGAACGATGAGGATGATGGTGCTGCTGATGCTGGTTTAGTCTGGCACGGAGAGACTCAATGACCTTGTCCTTCTGCTGCAGCTCTTTACTGAGGCTGTACGCACGTGCGCGCATGCACACAAACACAACCACACACACACACACACACACACACACACACACACATTTTATTTACCATGGTCGATGCACAATACATTTATCGTGTCAGATATAGCTAAAATGTAATTCTCCTCTGTAGTCCCTAATTATTAGGCCACAAATAATGTGCAGATAACAATCTATTAAATCATCATAAAAGCATTTATAGCCCCCCTACCCCCTGCTTTCCCACACACAGACACACAAAGAGAAACACACGCCCAATTTAAAATGAAAGGCAAAATGTTTAAAAGTACTGAACCCTGATTTCTGTGTGCTGAGGAATCTGAGAGTAGTAGCTGCATGAGCTGTGTCCATGTGACTTAAAGGATAAGTATTATTAAGCAGTGCTGTACCAGGTGTGTGAGTCACCTGCCTGCTCTTCTCACAAAAGGCTTTGCTGACTGCATCGTGTTGCTTTGGGGAAGCCTCTTAGTGACTAACACATGCATGACACTGCATCAGATCAAATGTGTAAGAATCTAGACTGACATTAAACAAGTCACACACACATTTTTTGGAAAGCTATGTTCAATTTCATTAGCCACACTCAGGCCTGATTACTGCTACACCCGATGAATGAAGAAATAATTTCAACAGAACCTTTGTGACAAAGTGAAGTAACAAAGTCATTGACATCTATCAGTCTTGTGAGGGTTAGAAGGTCATTTCTACGGCTTTGGAACTCAGACCCATGGTGCTCCACAAATGGATAAAGTTGGAACAATGGTGAGCTTCCCATGAAATGCATTGATGGAACATCCAGGAAGTCACAAAATAACCCAGAACAATATCTAAAGAACTGCAGGCCTGACCTGGCTCAGGAATGGAGGAAGGTCAGGTTCACAATTCAACAGAGGCTCTGCAAAAATGGCATTCATGCGAGCGCTCCAAGGAAAACCACTGCTGACCAAAAAGAACACAAAGGCTCATCTCATATTTGCATCTTGATGAGCCTCAAGACTTACGGAAAAGAGATTCTATCGACAAGTTGGACTTTGGACACAACACTAGTAACCATCACCTTCTCTTGGGCTCTGCCTGCAACCCATTATCCATCAAGACTGCATACTGTCAGACGCTTTGCCTTTACTTAAGCAGCAGTATGATTTCAAAAAAGAGGGGAAATACCTCACGCACAAGCATTTAACCACACAGCATGCAATTAATTTGCACAAATGTAATGTCTTTGATATGCTGCTTAGCTGCTTGGTGGTGACTCTCAAAGTGGAACCAATGAGAACCAATAATTGAATCGATAAGGAATCGAATGGATACATGATATCAATGATGGAATTGCAATTGCTGAATTGGTATCAAGTCCCATCTCTAACTGCAC